AGCGCAGCCACGCGGGGTGTCCCCGCGCGGTGGCAGGGCCGTGTGGCAGCGGGTCACAGGGACGTGGCTCTGCTCTTCGGCTCATCCTTTTCCTGTGCTGGGTTGTCGTACGAGGCCTTCTCCACCCTGCCGAGACGGGGGGGGCATCAGCGGGACCTGGGCACCCCCATCTCCATGCCCCAGGCATCCACCCATGGCCCTGGGCACGTGCGTCCGGCCTGGCAGGACCCGGCCCTGGGGAGCGGAGGCAGGGAGCGCGCAGGGGGGCACGCGCTACCTGTGGATTTCCTGGATGTCCTGGAACTTGTCGCGCTTCCTGCGGGAGAGAAGGGGCTGAACAGTGCCGGGTGGCAGCCCTGTCCCCTGCCCGTTCGCCCCATGGACACGCACTGGCGGCACAGCCAGGCCACGTCCCCCAGGGTGCCATGTGCCTCCCGGTTGTCCCCACATCCTTCGTGGCCCGGCTGCACGGACCCACCTGCGCTCCCGGTTCCGCCAGAGCCGGTTGGCCAGCAGGACCACGAAGACAATGAAGAGGAAGACGACGACGGCCGTGAGGCCGATGAGCCAGGGCTGCAGCTCCCTGGAACCGGTGGCTGCAAGGCAGGGGAACGGGGACAAGTTGAGGGGTGCCATCCTGCAAGGGACACAGGGGGAAGGGGCACAGGGGACACTGGGGGACATCGGTGGCCACCCATTGCTGCACTGTTCCTTGGGTGCCAGAGCCACCGCTGGTGCTGCCACTGCTGTCCCCTGTCCCTGTGGGACCAGGGTCTGTCACGGGGGGCTGTGTGGCATGGGGGGCACCATGGGGTGCCCAGATCTTGCTGATCTGACCCCAAAATGCTTGTTTGGGTGCTACCCTGTGGGCACTGGCAAGGGCTGGTCCTACTGGGATCATTTCCATGAGGCAGGACGGGCTGATCCCCAGGGTGCGGGCACATGGGGGGACCCTGGTAGCACCTACCTTGTTGTCCCTGCGCGGTGGCCGTGAGGACAAGCAGCAGCACGAGGGGCAGCGGCACCGTGCGGGGCTCCAGCCTCCGCATTTTGGGCTGTGTGAGGCTTGGAGAGGAGCACAGACAGATGGACAGACGGGCGGGCGGGCACGGATGGACCCTGGACCCCGAGGAGGGTTGGTCCCCACTGCGTGCAGCACCGTGGGGCCAACGGGCGCTTTTATTGGGCTCAGGAGGGCAAGTGCCACCCAGTGCCACCAAGTGCCATGGCAACGGGGCTCCCTGAGCCAGGGGAGGTGGCAGCTCCTCCCAGCGGGCTCAGACCCCCAGGCAGCACGGGCTGCACTGAGTCCTTTGGGAAGGGGGATGTGGCCACCAGGAGATGCCCCTTGCTTGGGAGCCATGTGGTTTGGAGCCAGAGGAGACAGATTTGGGATTCCTTCTCTTTCTTTCTTTTTTCTTTTTTTTTTTCCTGGGAAACCAGCTGGTGATCTCCCTTGGCCCCAGGGGAGCAGGACTTGCTGCTGCTGGGGGCTCGGGTCTCTTCTGCAGCTCAGCTGCATCTCGCAGGTTCTCAGGCCTGGCCTTGGGCACTGAGGGGGACCATGGAGACTGAAGGGGGCCATGGGGACCTGTAGCCTTCTGCGGTGGGTGGCGAGTGGGTGGATGGTTGGAGGGATGGATGGAGGGATGGTGAGAGAACAGATGGGTGTATAAATGGGTGGGTGGAGACATGGATGGAGGGATGGAGGGAGGGATGAACGGAGATGGGAAGTGTTCGCCCTGCCCAGTGCCCCTGCCCCAGGCCCTGGCAGGGCAATGCGGCCCCCCCGAGAGCTCTCACCCAGCGGGTGCCTCTGCCCATCACCTGCCCGGGGAGTGCCAGGTGCCTGTAAAGAGCTAAATATTAATAGCGCTATCAGCAAGGCCTTGGCAGAGCGAGCGGGGAGCTGGCGACGCCGTGCCAGGCAGGGTTGGCAGCGTGTGCGCACGCGCGAGCATCTGCGTGCATGTGTGTGCACGCCAAGCAGGCGGCTGTTCGTGCACGTGTGTCACGTGTACTGTGCGCACGGGCGCGCGTGCCGTGCGCGTGCATGTATCTGTGCTTTCGTGCGCTTTCCTGTGCGCTTCTGTGCCCGTGCGCTCGCACACGTGTGTGCCCGGGGCTGTGCATCGCTCCCATGGGGGTGAGGGTGCCTGTCCGTGGGTGCATGGCCACGCACATGTGTGTGCACACGCGTGAGCCAGCAACACTGGTGCCCAGCGAGCAGGGACATGTCAGGGGCCGCATCCTGCAAGGATCGGGGTCATCGGGGGCCGCATCCTGCAGGGATCGGGGCTCAGGGCACCTCAGGGGTCACATCCTGCAGGGATCAGGGACATCGGGGGCCGCATCCTGCAGGGATCGGGGCTCCCCGGCGCTGCTGCCACCAGCGCAGGGCATGGTGAACCTGGCTGTCCCTGGGAGGCGGCACGGCCACATGCAGCTGCTCACACAGGGGACAAGGAGCGGGGCACAGCCAGAGCGCTTTATTGAGGGGTTCCAGCTGGGGCCACCTCAGCTCGGGCCAGCTGAGATGCCAGGAGGACAGGGGACACCGGGACACCCGCTGGGGATGGCCCGCGCTAGAAGAGCCTCTTCTTGTGGGAGCCGGCGAAGGAGACGGAGCTGCGGGGGGTGGCGCACGGCAGCGCCGGGGGGGGCTCCATGCCCGGCAGAGCCCCGGAGCCTTCGGCCTCGTGCGCCACTGCAGCGCCCTCCTCCTCAGGCCACTCCAGCTCCAGGACGCTGCCACTGTCGTCGGCCATCACAGCCTTCTCCTCCTCGGGCTTGGGCCCGAACGCCCAGTCTGCGAGGGAGGAGATGAGGCCCTGAGACAGGGACGTCCCTGTCCCCATCCCTGACCCCATCCCTGTCCCCGTCCCCAGCATTTCCTGCCACCTCCCTGCGAGGGACCCTTGAAAAAGGACCACCCATCAGACAGGGGGCCCCCCGCAGCTCTCCAGTGCCACAGGGAGTCCAAAAGCTCAACCCCGCTGCGGTCCCCACTGCGGTCCCCAGACTCGCTTGCCGCTCACCGGCAAAGTCGTGCACCAGGTCCTTGATGAGGTGGCCCACGATGGCATAGGCGACGATGAGCACGAGCGCAGCGGCCATCACCAGGTAGAGGACGTAGCGGGGCAGGCGGATGCTGTCCAGCGCCGGCGGTCTGTAGTCCACGTAGAGCAGCCCGTCCCCGGCCGCCGGCGACTGCAGGAGGCGG